ACATTAAGTACAACCTTTGATTGTACAAGTTTAACAAGATTATTAACATGATAATTAACAATTATAACATCCATCTAACATTAAACTATTTATCTTCACATTTTTAATTGCCAACAATAATATTATCATAACATAATTCAATACATTTATTTTTTTATTCATCTAAATAATATGTACTTATACAACTTTAACATTTATTACTTACACAACTTGTACAAATATCAATTGTTTAACATTAGAATTAACAGACTGCATTACAACCGTCATAATTAACTAAATTAAAATCATCACATTATTCTATATATCTATTATGTGGATCTACTGCTAAATGTCCATCACCACAAATGTTTATACAAAAGTAATATACTGGCCTAAACCCAATTGTTTTACATTCTAAACATGTTTTTCCATCATCACTGCATGTTTTACAATCATCCCTACATACTCTCTTACAAGCTAGACAACTATCATTTGGGTCAAAATTATATCCATCATCACAAGGTTCATTTCCAACTACATATCCATCACCACATTTTTCTATACATAAACTTGAATTAGGATCAAACATCCAACCAAATGTTTAACATTCAGAACATATTCCTTTGGTACATCTTGTACATTAAAGTTAACATTCAATTTTACATTAATAACATCCATCAAATTAGACATCATTTGAATCATCACACTCTTCTAATCCACTAATAATTCCATCACCACAAATATCAATACAAGGGAATACAGTAGTATTATCACAAATAGTACATTAAGCAGGACATTAAAATCTACAATTATGACATCCATCAAATTAAATTAAATTTCCATCATCACACTATTCTTCACTTACAACTAATAAATCTCCGCATATAGGTTAACATTAATTATTGATATTATTATATTCAGATGAGCAAATATAAGGAGGACAATTCTAATTAAACCAAATTGAATCATTGTTTCCACAAATCTAATAACAAGATGTTAATAAGACATCTTCTAAAGATGGACATTATATACAATTATCTTAGTTACTATCATAATATTCCATTCAAAATTCTATATTAATTAGAAAAACAAGATAAACAAGATGAATCTGATGATTGAAAACATGTTTCGCATTTATTTGAACATAATAAACACTTCTATTAAAATTCATCAAAGTAATATCCAATATTACATTCACAAGAATTTCCATTTAATATTAAATTGTCTAAAACTATACATTCTTAACAATGCAAATTTGTAGATCCATTACATTTTGTACATAACTTATCACATGGTTAACATAATTAAATATTATTCTAGTCATAATAACCATCAAAACATTTGCAATCTCTATTTTCTAAATATCTTAGAGATGTAGATTCACAATGTATACAATAATTAGTTGATTAGCATTATTTACAACTATAATGACAATCTAAACAATTGATTCCATCATAGAATTAATTAAGCTAGCAACCTAATATACAAGTTGTAATAATTAATTAATAATTAGGCTTGCATGTTAAACATTCATATTCATTAAAACAAGTAAGGCATTCAAAAGGACAATCTTCGCAAGTAGATGTAGTTTCATCTACAAATTAATTATTAAAACATTATGATTATTCTGTTTTTACAATATTAGAATCATACGTCATCCATTCATCACAAGTAAATTCATTTGTACATCTATTACAATATGGCTTACAATAATGAACAACAATATAATAATTTGATATTCCGCAATAGGAATCAATAATATTAACACCAAAACTTTAAATAGCAATTGTTAAAGTAGGATTATAGGTTAAAACTTTTTCTATAATACTTAATGTTGAACTTTGAGTTATTTATTTTTGAGTACAATTATTAATTTCATATGAAAAGTAATTAATAGGAGAGGTCGGAAAATTTGGACCAAAAATTACTTAAAAATAAATAGTTAATGAATGATGTGGATTTAAAGTATATATTTGAGAAAATCTTGATTATGCCCAAATGTATTTACCACCAAATATCCTTTTTGTATCAGTATAAGACCAATATACAAAAGAACCTTTTTACAAATCTGTTGGTATAGTTGATTCCAAAATAAAAGTTGTATTTAGAGTATCTGTGACAGTAAAGTCATAAAATTCTCTAACAATATATTTTGAATCTTATGTTATATTATATATTTACATTTTGTAACTTAATCATATTTAACACAATGAGTACCATTATATGTAGATTCTAAAGGACAATCAAAATATAAACAGGTTCCATCTGAAATTTTTACAAATCCGTAATAACATTGAATACACCTGTAAAACATATCACATTTCAAACATCTATATGGACAATAACCTGTTGTAATTTAAGCAAATCTTAAAAACCAACCAGCTCCTGGTTAACTAAATTATTTTTAAATGTTACGTAAAATTCCCTTAAAGAGAAAATGTTAACTTTTATTGAATCAAAGTTGTGAATATCTCAACAGATATAAACAAATTATTAATGCATTATCCAGTTACTGGATATGTTTATTATGATCTCATCTCTACTTTATCATATATAAATTAAGTTCCATCAAAATATACAGAATCTATATATGTCTAATTAATATAAAATTAAACCCCTGTATTTATTGGAGTTGCATTACAAAATACAAATTAAACAAGTGTAACCAAAGGGTATATTGCAAAAATAGTACTAATAGATGTGTAGGCTCCTTCTCTAAATCTAAAGAGTCCAAAATTATATGGTGATAGTTTCTTATCTATTATATCTAAATGTTAAGGATCATAAATAATATTCCAATTATACCCAGGCTCTAAATTAATTCCATATAAACTAGAAAATACAAGACTAGCTGGTACAAAATCTAAACATATTCTATTTTATGATTTTAATTTAGATCCTGTTAAATAGCATTTATCTACGCATCCATATGATTACATAACACTTTTTCTTATTGAACATCTACATTCTCCATTTATAACAATCAAACCTCCAGAACATGCAATGCATTAGTTTTTATCTGGGCCTGTGCATTAAGTACAACCAGGATAACAATTTTAATATGACATATGCACATCCTAATCATTGCACTAATTAATGGATTATAAATTGTAAATTTCGGAAATTAATAACCATTCAAACTATAAGGCAATGTAAAGTTATATGTTCTTACCTCGTATTAAATAGAATCACAAAAGCCATTTGTTTGAGGCAATGGATTTTAAGTTGAATGTCTAATTTAATAAATTTAATTATTAAACTCAAATTCTATAACATCAAGCTACCA